TAAGTACTTAATTCGTTCCGGAGGTCTGTTCTTAACCTGAAACTGTTCTTAACCTGAAGCACCACTTTCGCTAATGGGGCCTCCAGCTGCCGCCGCGTCGCCAGAGCACAATTTCTGTTCTCATCCTGAAGCAAAGTTCTTAACCTGAGGTAATATTTCTGGGTTAGCGGAGTCTGTAACCTGAAGCGTATGTAACCCGAGGTACCACTGTATATGCAAGGTGAAAGATGCAAAGCTGTGCCTAAACTGACACAAACATCACTCCTTGCTGTCATGGGAATGGTACAGTAGTTCAGTTATGTTAATTCAGCTCAAGGATGTCCTAACCAGAAATACTTGGACCTTGGGCCCTTTTTGCAGTGGCTCTCAGTTTGTGGAATAGCAAAATTTTCAAGGAGGGGGCCGGCTCCCTCAATATTCTCCCGCCTGCAGTGGGTCTTGCTGGGCCTCCCTCCACCTGCGACAGACTCTGTCCTGTCTCCCTGTGGCCATGGCAGGACTTGTGGCCAGCCACATTACATCACACACGTCGTGCATGTGACGACATGACACGGCACAAAGTTGGGTGGAACCCAGCACCTGTGCTCCCCAGGGAAGCTCACCTGGCAAAAATGTTCACTAACCAGGCCTTTGGCTGATTAACATTTTATATTCCTTTTAAATGTGTTTCTGGGAGGGGGCATTATTGTTTTGCTTTGTTTTTGTTACGTCTCTTATGTTTTCATTTTTTTATTTTTATGCTGTGAACTGCCCTAAGACCTTCAGACAAAGAATGGCATGCAAATTTAAATCATAAATAAATAAATAAATGCAGGATATAAATTGAATAATATTAAAAAAAAAAAAGCCAAGAAAAATGTTACATTTCTTAAGCAAAATAACTATATGTTTCAGTAGAGGGCACACAACCCCGGCCCCTAAAAAGAGGTGCTAAGTGAGTAAATTATTTTGTCTTAATGGTTTGTTAGGACAACACAAACATCTTTCGTGAGAAAAAAACATTGTCAATAGACACCGTCTGTGTCATTCTTCCTGTACACATTGGTTTCGAGAAGTAGATGTTTTTCAGCTTACTTTTCATGATTTCCGTACTATCATTTTCCCAGGGGGATTTGTCTCCTATTTGCAAGATTAATTGTTTATGTGGACTTTCCCAGGGTCCCTTTCCCTTTATTCCTCTCCCACTCCATCCCTATATAATATGAATCTCTGAAACCCAAGAGAACCTTAGCCAAATCAGCATTCCATCTCTGCCCTGTTTCCTCCAAACTGCAGAAATGGAAAAAGTTAAGCTAGAAATGGTTCTTGTAAAAAAAGGAACAAGGCATTGTATCTTAAGAAAGACCTGTGACTTTAGGATAGTGTTTCCCCCCACTATATCACTATGAAAAACTTGTGGTATTGTAAGCATTTAGCACCCATCTATATTTTATGATCATTTATTTTTATAATACTCCAGTATCTTTATATGGTGCAGGCATTTATTTGGTGTAGACTATTATTTCAATAGCCTGTGAAGATGCTGGGCCTTAAGGGGCAATCAAACATCAGCATTAATCATAGCAGTGTTGGCCATTTGCAGTTTAGCTGCGCTGCAGAAAGCTTGCTGGGGAGACCATGCATTACAAGGAACTAAAAAATAACTTTAACAAGGTTTTAATAACAAAAACAAAAACTCCTTTTACACTAAATATATCAACAAGCATGACCCAACCACCAACCCATCCCCTGGGGTACTAAGAGAGCTAGGTGCTGCTCTTTATATACTATACCCAATTGCTGACACAGCTTAATTAACACAACTTAGCAGCACCTGCTATACTGTTTCACAGCTGTAAAACTGGGTCATATTATTTGCTCTGGCCCTTAAAGACATAGACATCTTGTGGAACAATAATGAACTTTCAAATTTAAAGAGACCATTCAACAAGCAGGTGGTACGGTAGTTAACTAAATAAATAGGATAGATAGACATTTGCAAATACAGTACAGCACTGTCCTAACCATGCCTACTTGGAAGTAATTCCTATTTGGTTACAGCGGAGCAATGGAATAGGGTTAGTATTGCAGCCTGTGCATTTACCGTGGGCAGGATTCAGGTAATGTGTCCCACCAGCAGAAGCCCATGCAAGGGCTTCCTGCTAGTGCAATGTGGCTTTCCCATTCCTGCACCCACCTAAATTAACTCTGGGAGGGGTCAAATTATTCTGTCAGGCAAGCAGAATTGCTTGGGCTGACTGAGCGAGCTGCATAGTGCTATGTTGAATTCCTCCCCATCCATTTGAAGAAGTCCTGTATAGATACAACGCACAGAAACTAGAAGTGAGAAGTTATTTTGTAGGTAACTAAAGTTTGCACCAAGGGACGCAGGTGGCACTGTGGGTTAAACCACAGAGCCTAGGACTTGCTGATCAGACGGTCGGTGGCTCGAATCCCCACAACAAGGTGAGCTCCCGTTGCTCAGTCCCTGCTCCTGCCAACCTAGCAGTTCGAAAGCACGTCAAAGTGCAAGTAGATAAATAGGTACCACTCCGGCAGTGGCGTAGCGTGGGGGTGCAGGGGGGGCCGGCCGCACCGGGCGCAACATCTGTGGGGGGGGCGCGCTGGCACTCGCAGCTCTCTGCCCCTACTAAAATCCACGGGTTAGGGGCACAAATTACTTGCCTTGCCCCGGGTGCTGACAACCCACGCTACGCCACTGCACTCCGGCGGGAAGGTAAACAGCGTTCCCATGCACTGCTCTGGTTCACCAGAAGCAGCTTAGTCATGCTGGCCACATGACCCGGAAGCTATACGCAGGCTCCCTCGGCCAATAAAGCGAGATGAGCGCTGCAACCCCAGAGTCGGCCACGACTGGACCTAATGGTCAGGGGTCCCTTTACCTTTACCTAAAGTTTGCACCAGAGATGTCACACAATCTGTTTATAATTGGAGCACCATGTCCCATCAGCTATACGGACATATTAGTTTTGTTTTAGTTGGCAAGTGTAACCAGTGGAACATTCTCATGGATAGAATGTAAAAAAGAATGATTCTATCCTTAGTGTAGGCCCATTGCTGGGATAGGATTGTACCTAAACTTCCTTTTTCGCAATGCTTGTATCCTCTTGCTTTGTTCTTTTCTGCTGAGCTATTAGCCAGGTCACAAGGCTTCTACTGATGAGTTCTTTTTTTAAAAATATAGATTTTTAGAAGTATACTGAGCTTTTCACCATGTCTGGTGGCTTAAAACAAAGAATATACACAATTCTGAACATAAATTAAAACATTGGAGAATAAAACTTTAGAACACCATTCATGTCATGAGGGCCTGAAATAAAACCGTTTTAAACCTGATGTCAGAAATTTAGCAGTGAAACTTGCGCTTCACACTTCCACGAGACCAGCCAGTAGTTGGGTCCGAAGAGGAAGTCAGGATCACAAGACAAGACAAATGAGGCTGTACAAAGGGCAAGCCAGGAAGCCAGAACACACCAGAGCCTGTAAAAACCTCATTGCTTGAGCAACACTCAGCAGGAATAATTTACTCCTGGTGTCCCCCCAAAGACATGTCTGTGGGCAAAATGGGAGGACTTCAAAGTACCGTGTGGGGTGTTTGAAAGGCCCATCCTGGTAGAAGAGACAATCAGTTTCCACTGGATATATTCTTTTTCCATTTTAACAGCTGTTTCGATGGAAAGTGCTCCCCCCTCCTTGAGCAAGGGACACTTGGTGGGAGTGTGCTTTGCTCCAGCAGAGGATCCACCAGGAGCTCACTTTAAGCTCCTGGTTGTTCCTTTGAAGCCCCGTCCTTACCTGCCACACACCTGATATTACATAATCATGTCAGGTGTAGGGTGGGTGGACATGGTTTGGCCAAAATGTCCTTGCAAGTCAATTGAAGAGACCTGGCAGGCCTGAGGTTCTCCACCTCTGGGATAGATTATGAGACCTGCAGGTATCATATCCAGTAGCACTGCCCAGCGGACGAGATATCAGGTGTCCAATTGTTATTTATATGTGCAACAGGTACAAAAAGGAGTGCTAGTTTTTCATCAGAATTGCTGAAAGCACCAGAGTCTGACAAGATCAGAAGCCCCAAGATATCTCTTTCCCAACCTCTATCCTCCAGATGATGTCCTCGTCTTCCATAGGCCCACCCCACACATTTGTCTTTGCCCACACATAAAACGATACCCTACTTTTTAAACTCAGGCCCATGCACCTAAACTTACACTGCTCTGGGGACACCTGGCAATCATCTTCTGTTTATCAGGTGAGTGTGCTGGAATCATCATATGCAGTTGTGTCCATGTGGTGTGGTAGATTACCTTGTCTTCCCCATCCTGACCACAACATTAGCTAATCAGTTGACCAGCTTCAAGCTGCTAGTTGAGACTTAGCAGCACTGCATTGTTTTTCTAGAACAAAATGTAGGAACCCTGCACATCTGTCCGACTGCTCTATGCATTCCTTGTAATTCGGCTAGAGTGTGATTGGTTAGGCTCTCTTTGTGTGTCATGCACCCAGCTCCAAGCATCTATGCTTGCCTTAACTCATCCCTGCATGGCATGGTAGTGATCCATCATTCCAAACACTAGAAAAATATTTCAATACCAGATATTTTCAGTAGGAAGTCATTTTTAATTGCTAGCCTAGCTGCAGCAAAGGGTTGTGCAAAACACAAGTTGCTTTTTCGCAGCTGGATTGAAACGAAGAGGTTCTACATCAATCAGAGGGCTCCCCGTATAATCCTTTCTGGTATTTTGAGTGGTATCGGGGCAATAATATGCAACGCTGTATCTGTTTGCTCCTCATTGTCTTGCGCTAATCTGTGTGCGTTCCTCCTAAGTATACGCTGCAATGGAATTTATGATAGCCTGATCCCTCCTAGGAGTTCAGTTTAAGAGGAATGAATGGAAAAACCTGAACAGCGCCGCTTTCCATAGTATATCGAGGACATTTATTGAGTAAATGAAAAATTGGGTCTACACACCCTACCTTCTGTTGCTGTATTCCAGCTGGCCATCCTCATGCAATAGTAGCACATTGGGAAGCAGAGTCCATGGACTGTGAATTCCGCCTGGTCAACCTATTCCTTAGGCAAGCTGATGAAATGGAGCTGAGTGACCTCTGAAAGAAAAGAAGAAGACTATGTAAAGTCAGAAGGAACTCCCAGCAAGAAAGGTAATGGGTGATGGTGTAAGAGGTGTTCTTTACATGAAGGATGGTGACCAGTCTACTTTATTCAGAACAAACCCTTAGCACAGATAAGGCATAAGGAAAGCCCACCAGAAACCGCTCTCTTCAGTGGCCTCAGGGCACTGGTCTCTAGGGCTCGAGGGCTTATAAAACCTTAACTAGAACTGCTCCAGGCTCTGGTGAATTGGAACACATAATACATAGACTATTATTACAGATGGGTTTGTAGTCCAACAACATCTGGAGGGCCACAAGTTCTCCATCTCTGTCTTCACAGTCTCAGGGGATCATATGCTTTGGAGCAGAGGATAAAGGGGACCCAATGAGATTAAAATGGCATGTAAGCATCGAATCTATTAAAACAACCAAAACACTTGTACTGCACTATAAACAATCACCCGAAAATGCCAGCGCAAAGGAAAATAGAGTTTGCAGGCCGGCTCTGCTAAATGCCTACATGTTGAAGAGATGCTGCTGAGTTAAGGGAGATGGGTGATGGGGTGTCAGTCTCTAGGTGTCCTAGAGACTGGTGGATCATCATTCCCAAGACCTAGAAGGTTCCTCCTTTCCAGAAGCAGTACTAGCTGTCAGTGGCACCCACTGGGAAACCTGATGCACGAATGGGATGTGCTGGGAAGGAAGGGAAGCGACAACATGGGAGCACTGCTCCCACAGCTGGCCTCTGGCCTCCACCTCTACCAACTGAGCGAAGGGGTTTTCTCATTCCTTCTCCAGGCATCTGGCTGTATATGTTGGCCTGGTTCTTAGTGGGGCACTGCCTACATATTTAAGTGGAAACTAGGAACTAGTGGGTCTTTCCTTATTTAATGTGGTTTCCTCCCCGGCTACCTGATTGTGCAGAGTTCGGTGTGTGTTCTAGGTTCTATGACAACATGGGGGAATTCTCTGGTTGCTATGAGTTCACCAGTGTGTTCTCTGCCTGGGTGATATGATATGAAGGCATCATCAGTACACAGTGATATGAGTGGTAAGTGGTGCAGGAGTTACCATGGACGTTGCAAGCATGACCCATGTCGCTGCTACAGCACCTCTCATTCCTTCTGGTATGGTTTTGTTTTCTACTTTGCTGTTGGGTGTGCATAGGATTGTGTCTATGTTATGCAACAGAAGGCTGATCTAGATGTGTAATAGCAGCCAGGGACTGGCTGGATGAGGAAGAGTGGTGGGAACTCCCTGGCCAAGAGTCCCCCGGGGAGGATACAGAAGAAGACGACTTAGATCCTGGTGGTGGGACACTGGAGAACAGTCTGCAGAAGGGATGAGCTGAGAGGTGCTAGAAGCAGGAGGTTTGTGCCATCACGGGGGGATCCAGAGAAGGAGGCCCTTCCAGGGCAGCGTTAGAGGCTGAGAGTCACAGTGTGAGTGCAGACTCAGATAGAGAGGCATCAGAGGTTACCCTTGCTACGCAGCAGCAGAACAGTCGCAGTCTTGCTGGCTCTCCTCCCCATCTGATACTCTACTCAAGGAGAATCCTGCACGTTGCTGAGCAATGGGCTAGACAGGACCAGAAGAGGAGCCCACTCCCTTGGCACAGCCTTCATCTGCTTTGGAGGGGTCCAGAGTGAGAGTCTAGAGGGGGCAAGGGCGGGGCTAGTGGTCAGTTTCAGCAATGTCTCAGCTGGGTTAAGATGAACCAGAGGACTCTACTGTGTTGTTATTTTCTGCTAATAAAAAGCTAATTGCGTTCTGTGTCTTCCGTGATTCCCTGCCTTGTGGTTGACCTGGGCTTGCCTGACAGCTCCTTGACTTTAGGTTAGCTCTGTATGTTCTGCAACTTCCCTCACTCGCAGCTACTCTCTTTTTCTGATTCATCACATGGGGACAGACATTCAACTTCAAACACAGAGATTTCTTTGGATAATAAAAGTACTTATTGTGCTAAATCCATACCTTGGCAACCTCTGCTTTGTTGGATATTAGCCTCGTATTTCCAAGCCTTAGGGCTTAGAGTATTCATGGCAGGTATTAACAACAGTAGCATGCAATCTTATCTCAGTGTTCTAAATGCATTCTAATTCTCACATGTGTTCTAATCTACAACCTTAGAAAAAAATGAAAGGCACTCTCCATCTGATAACTCTTGTATAAAAAAATGAAGTAAGAGTTAACCTTCATGTTTCGTACGCAATGCATTGTGGACTAGATGCTTCATACTGGGGAATATGAACATTTAGTGTGCACCTTTTAAAAGTGCCTTGATATGTGTGTGACATGCAGATAAATTATTCATCCCACTCCTCTTTCTCAAGTATGAGTAATGGTTCGTTGACTTAGCAAACAATCAGTGAACCTTATTTTCTGCTAGGATGCCTATAGCAAATGCTGGCCCGCAAACAGCTGTTGGACAGAGGATGGAGCAAGCTTCTTTTCTCCTGCTCCAGAAGCTAGGACCTGAACCAAGAAATTCAAGTTACAAGAAAAGACATTCTGACTAAACATCAGGAAGAGCTTTCTGACAGCAAATGTTGTTCACCAGTGGAGCATACTCACCCTGAGAGGTGATGGACTCTTCTTCCTTGAAGGTTCTTAAGCAGAGGTTGGATGGCCATTTGTCTTGTATAATTTGGTTGAGACTAGACGACCCTCAGCTCTACAGTTCCTAGGATTCTTCTCCAAGAGAGAAACCTTTATTGCATGGTGGATAGCTTAATGAAAATGTCAACCCATTATAAGGCTGTTAGAATTTGCATTTTTTTTCATGTGTTGGGGATCATTTAAAATTAAACTACCGATATCAGAATGCCCTTATACCAATGGTGTGACCTCATTTAATAATTTGCAGAGTTCTGGTCTTTGTTGTGCCTCAAAAAGGATACGGGAGAGCTGGAGAAAGTGCAGAAAGGTGCAAACAAAACGATAAAGGGCCGGAGCAAAAGGGTCTGTGAAGGATAGGCTGTTTGGGGCTGTTTTAGCCTAGAAAACGATTGAGTAAGGAGGGTAATGATAAGAGGTTGGTGGTGCAGGGAAAGTGGTAATATGGAAGTTTCTCTCTCTCTCAATACAAGAACCTGCAGTCAGCCAATGAAGCTGAACGGTTAGAGATTCAAGACAGGCAAAAGGAAGCCCTTGCAGCAAATAGTTAAAATGAGGAACTCACTGCCTCAAGATGCGGTGATGGCCTCCAACCTGGACAGCTTCCCAAGCTTGATAAAACAAATTCATTCATTGCTGTTTATGGCAAACTAGGCAGCACGGCTCTGTTGGTGCCTCCTGCAACATCACAGCCTTGGAATGCCTGCTGCTGAGGAAGGCGATTGCCAGAGCACACCATCCCATGCGCGTTCGGCTTGTAGGCATCTGACCAGCTTCTTTGGGAAATGGGGATGACGGACATTTCGATCCGGAGGGCCTTTCTTACGCTCTGTCATCTTTCATGTGAAAACTAATAACAAGGTATCAATGGGGGGGGGGGGGCGACGACGACAATGACACGGATTTGGCCCTGTTTGGTTTTTGTCAAGAAACTGCAACACAATCGGTGGTGGAATGTGTTTGTGACTTATGGTAGAGCTGGGCAGCTCAGTTGGCTAGATCATAATAATCATAATTTATTATTTATACCCCGCCCATCTGGCTGGGTTCCCCCCCCCCCCAGCCACTCTGGGCGGCTTCCAACAAAGTATTAAAATACAGTGGTCTGCTAATCATTAAAAGCTTCCCTAAACAGGGTCCACGGTCGCAGGTTCGATCCCTGCATGCAACAACTGCACGATATCCCTGCATTGCAGGGGTTGGACTAGATGACCCGGTGGGTTCCCCCTTCCAATTCCATGATCCACATTAGAGAAGAAGCGCGCCAATCCCCGGCAGCGGGGCGTGATTCAACTCTGTCGCTTGGGAGTGTGCCGGGCTGGTCTCCCTGGAGGCCTTTCCGGCGCCTGCACACGTAGCAACTTGCCAGCCGCGATCCTTTCCGCTCCGAGGTTCCCTACCTGCCCGCCCGCCGGGCGCACAGGCTGGTCGGAGCTTGATAAAGACACGATGGGAGTGAGGGGCGGGTCCCCTCTCACGCTTACTGGCTGCCTCCGGCGTCACTCAAAGAGGGGTTGGCCCAGCGCCTCTTCAGGAGCGCCTGGAGCAGCGCCCGGGCTCAGATTGCGCTCAGGAGCGGCGCGAGCAGCAGCTGGGAGCGTGGGCGGCGCCGGCAGCAGCAAAGCGCGCGACGAGTCCCGTCGGACTTCCAAGGAGGGAAGCGCCTTTGCTGCTGCTTCTGAGGTAAAGGAGGCGCTGCGGGGAACTTGTGCCACTTTTGCCTCCGGCGCTGAGGAGGAGAAGGCAAGGAGCTCCAGTGTCGCCTTAGGCTCTCTTATCTACTCTCTTCACCTCCCTCTCTTCGCACTGCCCTGACTTTCTCGCTCCTCTTGCTTCTTTCCAGGAGATGGGCACCCTCAGCCTCGTGCTCCTGCTCCCTTTGGTGGCCGCGCTGGACTTCAACTACCACCACACGAAGGAGCTGGAAGCTTTCCTGAAGGCTGTGCAGAGGGACCACAGCAACATCGCTCACTTATATAGCATTGGCAAGTCGGTGCAAGGTACGGCTCCTGCTTCTCTCGCTCTCCTCCTCCCCAAGGGCGCCAACTTGAATAAAAAAAAATTTTTTTGAGGGAGGGGAGCAGGTAATCCCCAACCTTGCAGAGTCAATAACACCCACACCATTTCCAAAGCAATGTGTGTGTGTGTCCTGGACCCCTCAAATATTTTATAGGGGGGGCTGAAGGGATGTTGGTCCCTAGGAGTTGGCTCCTATGCTCCCTCCATAATGCATTCGTGGACCAAAGGGGAAACTTAACTGGCCTGGGTAGGGAGAGAGGTCTTAACTGCCAGTCATCTCCCCTAAAAGTACAGGTTGGTGGGCTGAAATGCCAATGGGACTTAGCGTGCCACATGTCAGTAGCTTCTTCCGACAGAGGGAGCCACGCCCAAACCCCCATGAAATCTCAACAGTGGGGTTTTCGGCAGGACCTACCCAAGATCAACCTTTTCTAGTCAGTCACCAATTTGTTTAGGGCTGGGGTGTACATTTTCTGTACACTCGAACGCCATATATTTTCATTTCTCTGAATGAACTGTCTGGCATTCAAACTGTTTTGGATGGGTTGGGGGGTATTTCTGCCATTTAGCCCATAACTGGATTGATTAACTACTTAAAATGCACTTTGCAAGACAGGGGCCTTGAAGCTATTTTTAAAAGATACAAGTTCCACTTTAACACCCCCCCAAGAACCCTTCTACATTATTATTTGTCTTTATAATGCAATCAATATGCAATTGGTACCAGTTGGTTTAGAGGGATCAAGATATATTTTCTGCAGCTAGCACATTTTGCTGTGAGGGAAAACAACACTTTCAGAATGCTCAAATTACATTTTCCTTGGCTAGTGGCTATTGATAATTTATCCCACTAGAAAACTTGCCTATTATAATTCAACATACTATTTGGAATTACGTTGTATGATTACTGACTAGTACCTGCCCTATGATATCAATAGCTGGTAAGTGGCACCTTCTCTCTCCATGCTATTCTATGAAATTTCAAAATAGCAATTGCTTAGGTTTAGGTATATTGCATACTTGTTCTGAAGGCAGTTGCTTCTACAGGTAGATGTACTGTTTGAGTATGGTACAGCTCATATTCACTTTTGAGAGAGAAGGCAGAAACTGCGTGGTGACTACCTCCACTTAAGCAGTCCATCTTAATACTTGGTTAAGAGGTACATTTCAATCAACATGGCAGAAATTGAGTAATCACATTTACTATCCTAGCAAACAGACGCATAAGGATCAAACCACACATTAAGCTGGGAGAAGCATATCTGATATTTCTCTCTGTGTGTATGTGGTTTTTCCCCCCTGAAATGCAGCTGTGGAAGACAGGGAACCTGCATTCCCAGCACCTACTCTTACTAAAACAGAACAGATGAAAGGATTAAACCTTGGCTACTGCTCTGAACAAATTTGTAGCCCCACATTATGAAGTGGAAAGACAGGATATTAAATCATGGGCTTCCTTGTGTAGTGTGTTTGTCCTCTAGATGTAGATTAGCTTTAGGTGGGACAGCATAATTATGACATTGTGAACAGGTGTCAGTGCCGGTTTACTTCAAAATTTGAATAATTATTCACACAATACATAAGAAGTTTGCCAACAACTGCTCACTGACAGGTAATTGTTTTTTATTTAATGAGTTGTAGCTTTTATCTCAGCAAATAAACTGCTGTCTACAGTTAATACATGGTGACTTTTTAAAAACACACTATCTAAATTGACCTCTACATAAACCGATGAGTTCTGGTTGGCAGAGTACTCTGTCTGTTTGTTACGCCGCAGGAAAACCCATTTAGGACCAAGTTATTTGTACTTGTGCAAATTTATGCTATGCTCCAACAAGTGTCATAGTAAAATTAAGACCAAATAGTTTTTCCTTGCCTAATGAATTACAGTTATTCTAAGAGAAGCAGCATAAAGTTACATTCTTGGGAAGTGCATCATCTGTCCACATAATCCTATTTAATCTGGGTTTGCTAGGAGTAATCTGTAATTGCATGCACGGAGGCTTCTCAACAGGAAGCAGCTACTGTGATTTTGTTATCATTTTGGGTAGAAAACGTTAAAGGGAAATATGCACAGTGTCGTATTTTGTTCAGAAGAACAATCGAACAAAACAACAACAACAACATTCTTTTATTGTTTATACCCCGCCCATCTGGCTGAGTTTCCCTAGCCTCTCTGGGCGGCTCCCAACAGAATCTTAAAAACACGATAAAACATCAAACATTAAAAACTTCCCTAAACAGGGCTGCCTTCAGATGTCTTCTAAAAGTAAGAGTGTTGTTTATTTCCTTGACATCTGATGGGAGGGCGTTCCACAGGGCGGGCGCCACTACCAAGAACGCCCTCTGCCTGGTTCCCTGTAACCTCACTTCTCACAGTGAGGGAACGGCCAGAAGGTCCTCAGAGCTGGACCTCAGTGTTCGGGCTGAACGATGGGAGTTTGAGATGCTCCTTCAGGTATACTGGGCTGAGGCAGTTCAGGGCTTTAAAGGTCAGCACCAACACTTTGAATTGTGTTTGGAAACATAGTGAGAGCCAATGTAGGTTTTTCAGGACTGGTGTTATATGGTTCTGTCACCCGCTCCCAGTCACCAGTCTAGCTGCCACATTCTGATTAGTTGTAGTTTCTGAGCCACCTTCAAAGGTAGCCCCATGTAGAGCACATTGCAGTAGAACAAATTTTATAGTAAGATGCAGGTTCCTTTACATTTCTGAACAAGTGGCAGCTCTGTGATGGGAAGCGAGGTTGAAGAGATAGTGTATCTGATTTAGGCATGCCAGTCACAGAAGTTGGTACCTTATATTCCAATTAAATACACATGTATGTTTCTACACTAGAAAATGCCATCGCTTTATTGAAAAACACTGAGTGCTTATATCTTTCAGTGGCTTTGAAAATTACTTGGCCTGGATGATTCTCACCCTCTGCTGCTGATTCTAAACAAAAACATGGCAGAGTGGCACATAGAGTTTTATGTGTAGGGTTGTGACTTCCCTGTGCTTCTATTAGAGCTTTTTAATAATTCTGACATTAGTGTTATATAGTCTAGGGATTCTGAAAAAAAGTTGTTTAATTGTAATGCAGAATCCTTCTGCTTCATGATTAGTATCTGTTGAGATCATGATACAAAAAAAGGAGTTCATTGGAGGATTATGCCATAGTCATTAAGTGAGCAACATGTGGTGCATTAAGAAAATTTGACTGTAATCTTTTCAATTGTAGTTCTGTCAATCAAAGGTGTTTGAATGCGTATATAACAGGCATGTACCAAGTAATATATACATATAAAATACACAGGTAATAAACAATGCAAAATTCCTCTCCAGAGGTAAAGACCAATTAACCCGCAAATAATGTATTACACTTACCTATTGCCAATAATTCAACCAAAGCACAACTTAAAAAGACATAGGCACATATCCATTTTAATTGACTTCCTTGGTGTTAATTGTTTTTGCAACAGTTTTTGGCTTCTTGTCAGAGATGGCTGTGCCAATTAATTTGCACATATTTCTTAAAATCAGTCCGGGTCCAAAGAGGCAGAAGGAACTGAACCATGCTTTGGAGGTCAACAGTGTCATTCAACTTTTGTAAAATAAAAGCTTCTTTTTTCTAATTCTCGATCAATGTACTCATTAATGCATATCAGTTGATGGTGCAGCTACAACAGGGCATAGGGAGAAGTAGGATTAGGAATGACTAAGGCCCTTACCCTTTGCAAATATGCACATCCTGAATGGTAGTGTGCAGATATGGGTGAAACTCTAAATGGCATATTCAGAATACATATTTTTAGTCCATCTGATTTCAAGTCCATCTTTTCAGTGAGCAACTGACCAGCAGGGAACTCTTTATTACTGCAAGAGGGAATGCCCTTGAGATATGGTGATGTGCTTTTCTGCTTAAATTGCAGAAGAATAGTTATGGAATGTGTGCATGAAGGCAGTTTATTTGAATGCTTCTGCATTAAAGGTTCCCCCATCATACATGAGACTTTGGCTTTGTTATGTTGGTCACACTGTTCTTCCAGTTCCTGTACCTACCTGTCCTCTAGAGGTGGCATACAAACTATTGCTTTCCTTTTCCCCACAGAAGAGAATGGCAGTGGTCCACATGATCACCAGTGTCAGGAACGGGAGGTGGGGTATCGTTGTTTCCCAGCTGAATAAAGCACTGTAGTGTAGCATTTTACTTTCTCCTGTTTTGCCATTTGGTTGTATGGTGGAGGCCAACCTTGCCCCTGAGCCCTGGCAGTGGGCACTTGAGCTTCCTTTGCCACCTTCTTTGCATCCCTATTGCAATTCCTGGATCCATTCCTTCTCCTCTGCCCATTGTCATGAGGTATTTTGCTGTGTGTATGCCTAAACAAAACCTTGAATTCTGCACACATATTAAGAGCAAACTCATTTTCTATGTACAGGCCCTTTGGGAGGCAAAGCAGCACCAGCCACTCAAGGGCAAGTTTTCAGCAGGCTGTGGAGATCCTAATGTTTCAGTAATACAAAATATATTTAGCAAATAAGTGAGGGCAATGGGACCTAAGAACATCCCAGTGAGGGCTAAACATGCTTAGTGTTCAGAGTGTGCTGACTAACTGTTGTGGGGGTGGAAAACTAGGGGGGAGTGAGAAATAGGTTCTATTAAACAGAAGTTCTATGAAAATGCATGGCAAGTTGGAGCCTTGAACACTCTTTTTGAGTACTCCACATTGCAATAGTTTCAGGTCTCAGTTGTAGTTCATTCAATAAAGAAAATGTGAGTTAAGTTTCCTGCAAAGCTGATCACATTCTCCTTCTTTTCCCCTCCCCACCTTTTACACCTTAATTTTAATTCCATTTACTTGGAATGAACGACCATGGAAACTGATGGGTCATAGTTCCAAATAGATATGGCTGGAATTGAGCTGCGACTCAGGTGAGCCTTGCTAAAACAACTCGTACACCTAGCTGGACCCTGTAGTAGGGTAGAGGAAGGATGTA